GACGATTCTCAGGACCAGGATTACCATTACCATCCGCAACATTATCATCAGCCTCGTAGTCATCATCATCAGGTTCCTGTATATCACGATTTGAATGACTGGTAACCATTATTGCATAGTTTTTTCCTCGATAGGAACCTGTTTGTTCTCGTTGTTGTTGTTGTGCTGTTGATGATGCCGTTGTAATAAATATGAAAGAATACAAAAAGAAAAATAATTAATACAATTAGATTTAATAGAAAATATAATAATACAATACCTTGATTTGTCGATGTTGTTGGTTGTGAATAAAACGATAATGGAGTTGACGAGCAAGAAGGACTTGGATCATCCATTCTAATCCTTTTTCTTGGTGCCTCGTGCACATAGTTCAAATTATGTTGACCATTATCATCATCATCCCCTGGTAATAGCGCTCGATCCTACGATTTTCAAGGTCATTGAGGTCATTTAACGAAGTTAGCGTTTGAAGGTCATTTTAAGGTCGTCGTTTTAAAGAACACAAAAAGTTACACTTAAGTCTTGGGTTTGATGATATTCCGTCAGACACTTCAAAATAAAATCTGAGGTGTGACTTGATTTGCTCTTTCACACGACGACCTTAAAATGACCTTTGAACGCTACCTTCGTTAAATGACCTCAATGACCTTGAAAATCGTCATGGTCAACACGCTCAATTCTGTTCAGTCCTCTGGTCAAGTCTGACATTCATATGACACTTAGTTCTGGAGATATTCAGTGTAATAGCCGTAGTGCATAAAAAACGCCCGTATAATCTCGAACCCAAAACGACACGATTATCGACAGAAAGATAGAATCGATCATCCTATCTTCTGAAAAAATATCGGTAGAATAGATTTCAAGGTACTCGATAAATTAAGTCCTATTGGTCCAGAAAACAACATGAAGAAAACATTAGCCATCGAAGGTCTCTCTGCAAATAGACAAGCTCACCTGGTTGTTCTTGCCGCTTGGTTCACTAGTGCTTCACTTGGAGCTCAAGCCACCAAAATCGACTTCGTTAAAAATACTGACATTAATTACCTCACGACTCCCATCTCCAATGTACAAGCTCAAAAAGTCACAAATGTTAAACCTTTGGAAGAGATTAAAAAGAATATCCTTTTGGCCTGCGCAGATAAGCGCTATCACTATCGTGAGCTAAATACCAGCAGTTCAATATGTTATTTTAATTATAATTTAACCCATTTCTTGAGGGTGTATTTTGACCCACTCTAAATTTATTTAAACTACTTTATCCATTAAAATCGTTAATTTAATCAGAGATAATAATATTCAGATCATTCTGTCTCGAGTTATTTCCGATAACCTCGATCAACGAACCTCGGTCAAAATACACCCTCAAGAAATGGGTTAAATTATAATTAAAATATTTGCCATTTGCCTTTGCCATTCACAGGGACTGCTCATAAATAAGCTGACGGAAGTGTAATGATATTAATCATTATATGATTTCAACAGAGAATTGTTGTCGAGTCAAGTTTCCAACTTTAAAATTTATTTCTGTGTTAAATCTAGTTTCTTTCAATCCTCCTCTTTTTTGATCTGTGTTTCATCTCATTCCATTGATTCTTACAATTTGTGTTTTATTCTTCGCTTCTAATTTGTGTTCAATCTAATTTTTATCAATCGCTTTTCTTTCCAATTATTGACCAACAACCTTAATTTAATTTAATCTAATGTATCCAACCACATCAACTTTACTTTGTCACGATTCCAATGTTACCGCTCAATCAACGCGCTAGCGTTAATCTAAAATTCACAACATACGCCAATTTCTTCTCAATTTCTCATCTTTTTCTTATCAATTATTTTCCCTTCTTATTATTGTTTATTTTAATTCCTAACTTTTATTCTTAATGTTCAATCAATTTTCTTTTTTCTTTAACCTTACAAATAAAAAACTTAAAATTTTTTAACGTGACATTAGCTCAACTTATTTTTGCAGTCGTAGAAGTAACAAGTTTCCTGTTTCCTAAGTATTCACCTTTTCATAAACTACTGAGACTGAGAAAAAGAAACTTAATTTATGAGCAGCGTATAGATAGAGGAAAAGGTGAGATTGGTCAAAAGCGTAAAATTTTTTAATGATTGAATAAGCTTTTACGGTCAACTTGTAGATAGGTGTATCATTTAGTGTGAATCACCATAATGCATAATCAAATTGATTAAAAGTTTCTCACTCATGTGATAAACTTGTTGATTATCTAATGAAAATTGTAAATTGATTTTCACCTTATAAGGTTAGAGTATTCAAGTATCACTAGTGTATTATTAGATACACTTTTTCTACTATTCCTCAAGGCATAAGTTAAAATGTGATCCTGTCACCTTTATTCACGATACATGATCTTGTATCATGACAAATATTTAATGCTAACTGAACCATTCAGTAAAATCAAGAGAGAGAGAGAGAGAGAGAGAGAGAGTAGAATTGTAATAACAGAGAAGAATACAATTACTAAACAGGGGAGTACTGCAATTTTGAAGGTGAACTTACAAGATCAGTAGCATTAGTATGTTGCTTCTGTTGGTAGTATTTTGTAACAAATTTTTACCTATCTCCTAATCTTTGTAAGGTAATAAATTGCTGACAGCCTTTCAATGTTGAACAAATGGTTCATTTGAAGGGTAAACTTTATTTGATATACTCAATGTTCTGATGTTTCAATTTCGGTAATAGAAACTGGTCAATATCGATGAGTTAAATGTTACAAGTGAGAAACTGGCATTGAACAAGACAGAGAAAATAGAGTAGAAGCTTGAGAAATAAGTAACAGTAAATGAAACATTTAGTTCATCATGATCAAAGATAATTGTACATAAGTAGCTACGAAATTGACTTTATATAATGTATCCGATGGAATAGAAATGATTACTCATTTGACTGCGAGCATGAAAAGTTTAATTAATGAACATGACAGTCTTTTCAGTTATAGAGAAGTCTAATCATGAACAGTTCTTTTGCCAATTTAAATTCTCTCTATTAGAATGAACTGAAAGTTTTCAAAAGTTCGTAACTTATTATTAATAAAAGCCGATTCTGAACGATTGAACTTACAATCAATTATAATACCTATTGTTTCAGCACTAAAAACCAACCTTGGAATAAGTTGATTTATGATTGATTGTGTTGAGCTTTTTGGAAAAAATCTTTATATGGATTTATCATACATTTAATATATAAATCGATTCTAATTAAATGGCAAATATTTTAAAATAGTTCATCAGAATCAAATATCATGGCAAGCAAAGAGAAATCAATAAAGTTTTGGATTGCAAATTTGTTATCACAGAAAATGATGTGAAGAAAAAAATAACAGAAGTGATTGAATGTTTCTAATGCGATTCTTTCGAAACGTCATCATGATAATCAATCTTTTATCATAAGTAATATAAACAGATTCAATTGACTCCTTAGATAATTGAATTTAATCAAATGTAATTAATTGAACAATTTGAAAAAAAAAGTTTCTCAACATTCGCGATGAAATTTGTAATCAATCAGATTAACAATCTTCAGGTTAACCTTTAATTATCCGGTTTGTATTTTCAATAATAAAATTTTCCATTTCAATCATCACCATTTAGGTTAAGCTATTAATAACTTTTCGTAACTGATAATATGATAAATGTTTCTCGATGTATATTTATATCAAAAAATTGTAAGATAACTTAGAGCAAAGATTCCCTGTAAAGATCAATCGTAATGTTATTATTTTGTAATGCTGAAAATTGAGCGATTCTGTTTGTATTCATGACGAAGATTATATACTAATGGTTGAAAGTTTAAAAATGAACAAGAATAAGTTGAAACAATTTTTGAGAAAATTTAAAATGAAATTATAACAACGTAGGTAGACAATAAATCATAATTAAAATTAAGATAATGATGAGATTATTTTTTTATTCAAAGTTGAACAATAAAAACATCAACAATCATGATAAAACTGACTCCCAGAGCATTTGAAAGATACATTATTATTATTATCATTATTATTATCGTAATCATTACAACTACTCAACTCTACTTCAATAATAGTATCATTATTAATGGTCTAGACGTTATTAGTTGAATATTAAACATTAAGTTGACTTTCAATATTTTCATCTTGTTTATTTGTTGCATCATTATTTCAATATTATTAATAATAAAATTATCTATCAAAATTTACTCAAACTTATTCGAGAATATCAAAGAGTATTGATCCAATAAATTGGATGGACAAACTGAGAACCCAACTGAGTAATGGGAAGAAAGTTAATCAGATGCTCTTTTCTCAGATTAATACTTCCACAGGTTTGATTATCAATTGAGTCTGATAAATTTTCGCAAAAATGTATTGATATTATTGTTTGGAAATCAAACATCTCTCTTGTTAGTTAATTAATTGTCTGCTCGTTCAACTTTGCTCATAAGAAAGTAAATAGTAAATGCATTAAATGAAATTTACTTTGCTAACTTAACATAAATATTGAATAATGAATATTAGTTGTAGATATAAATTGAATTGCTCTCAACGTTTTTGATTAATTTGATTATTACAACTTTGCTTCAAGCAAGTTGTACACACATACGATATTTTATCCAAATAAATGAGTTTCATAAAGCTCAACCAATTACGGAATATTAGAACTCATAATCTTACAGAAGTAGTAAAAAGCTGTTAAAGGTGATTTCATCTCCAATTGTCTTGACCATTTTCTCTCAATATTATAATGAATAACGATTTACCTTGGTCACTCACCTTCGCTCAGAATTAGCTTACAGTCTTTAATCGGAGTAGTAAACTAAGAATGCTGCTCTAAGAGCTTTTATCAGCAAAGTCTCCATGAAATTACATCCAAACATCTCTCTTTGACCTTCTCATCAATCACATTCATCATTTCAATATTATCAAAAGTTGATACTTTACTAATTGATATTATGATACTTGAAACTTATTCTTAACTATTTCACTTTTCTCATAAAATTTAAGGATTCCCGCAACCAGAGGTGAAATGGGAGCAACATCGTGTAAATGAACAGAGTGCAAGGCAGCTTAATGATTTTCAATTTAAAGTTCATGAGGACTACGTTGAAAGCACTGTAACAGTAAATAATCTCGGTGAAAATGATCTGTGGTCCAAGATAACCTGCAAAGCATCAAATACCAACTTAACCTCACCTTTAACTAGATCAATTCAACTGAATCTAAACTGTAAGTTTTAATTATTCACATTTAGAATCAATATTTGTATCGAAAAAGTAAATTTAATACTTTTTCTCTTTCAAGTGAAACCAAAAAGGCTTGAATTGACAAAACCTATGAGCCTTATTGCCAATGAAACCATCGAACTAACCTGTTTGAGCAAAGGTTCTAGACCCGCAGCCCTGATAAATTGGTACAAAGATGACATGATTTTGGTTGATAGTGATAATGGATCAGTTTCAGTTTCATCGGTAACAGTTTTCTACAGTCCAGATGAATCTTCATCACAGATAAATGAGAAAACAACAACAACAACAAGCTTTTTTAGACTGAGACCAACATTAGCCGATGATGGTAAAAGATTAAGCTGCTTAGCAAGAAATCCAAGGTTACCAGATATAATAATCGAAGAGGGATTTCATCTTAATGTCCAATGTAAGTTCATCATCAAACGGGAAAACAAAATAAAACGAGAAAAAGTTTTTCTTTTCAATTCATTAAAACAAAAAAAGTATTAGAAAAAAAACTGAAACTGAGAGAGAAAAATAATCCATGAGAAAACTACGATTACATGGAAAAGTTCATTCTTTTCCAATTGATCTCAATTCCAAATCGAGAGTATTATTCATTATTCATGTATATCAATATTTTCTTGATTGATACACTTTGGAATAATTTTAGATCAATTTGTTCAGTTGTAATAATCAACTGTTGATATCCTCAGAATTCAATCCAATTACTTATAATATCAACTTTTATTCTGAACAATAATTCATGAAGTGATGATAATGTCCACTATCAACGGAACAGATAATCTTCTTATATAATATTCTTAAGCTCATTTCTTTTATTATTTCATCTTTATCATATGAGCTTATCCAGACGCCTTTCATTAAGCCTTTTCTTTACTGAGTTTCTCTTCATAAGTATTCAGATTATCATGACCTGATAATAGATAAAAAAAAAGAGTATATCATTAGATGACTAACCATTAATTCAATGCCAACACTTGTTCAATGATCTTAATATCAATACCTTTTCTAATAGTTACCATCATCATATGAATAGCAACTCAGTTTGAGTGATGAATAAACATTCAATGTAATTAGATTAAGTTGATTACCAATCATCACCATCATGTAAAGATCATCGTTTTTGCCATTGATGAAACAATTTTATCAATAATTGATTTATTGATTTGATATACAAAAAAAACTGTTAACGATTAACTTTTCCAAGTATTCAACTTAATTGTATCAATTGAATTAAATTCATTCATATTGTTTACTTTGGTTCTTTCAAGAAAAAAGTGAATTGATAACATGTAAAAATATTTCCATCAATTTATCATTACGATTGATATAATCTTTCATTTTCTGTTTTGTTGATTTATCGATTTCTCTCTATCTCTCTCACTAAAATGAACATTTAAATTTGTTTTAATCTTGATTGCATTGATTAAAATGCTAATTGTCATGGTTTCTATCATTTCTACAGATAAACCAATTGTTAATCTGGTTCTTGGTTCGCAAAATGATGGTATCAGAGAGGGAAGTTTAATACTCTTTGAATGTAATACACAGGTAAGAATTGAAAATCAATAATAATAATATCACGATTAATATTATTACTGTTCTTATTATTATTATGTAATTAGCTGAAAGGTTAAATGAGATTGTAATGAAACAAATAGTAAGAACTACACTGTAGTAATCAAATAATAATGAGAAATAGATAATTTTCTTCATGATTAACAATAGTTGCAATTAAGACTTTGATTCATGGCATGAAATGAGTCTCATTGAATCATCTTAATTGTCTATTGATTAGTGTATTTATTTATATAAAAAACAAATTATCTGAAAGTTGTTTCAATCATAATAAACCGTTGATGTAATTATTATTTACCGAGATAATTTCATATTAGAGATCATTTTCTCATTATTATCATAATTCACAGAGAAAGACAGTGGTAAATATAGAATGCTTGTAGTTATGATCTAAAACATTGAATATTACCCTTGATGATAATAGTGAAAAAAATGAACCTGAATCAAATTCATAAATCATTAAGTTTCCTCTCGGAGTATCTCTCATTAATCACTACACAAAATGATTTACATAATTGATGAGATTATTATTATCAGTAAATTAGTATAACCTTTATTATCTTGGTTTAACTTGATTCATGTGATAGCCATAAGGGTAAAGTGAGTTGATTGATTTGTTAGGCTTTCGAATACCTGAATTTCAATGTTATAACAATTCAAAGTTCAATTGAATTTGCAAATTGAATTTGTACTTCAAATGAGAAACTGCTATTTTATCATTTCGAAAAGTTAATTGGGATTGATTTTCTTATCTCCATGCAACATTTTGCTCATCATTTCTCTCTGAAAAATTCCATCATTGAACAATACAGTTCTAAAGAAGCGAATCACTTTATTTATTAAAGTGATTCGGATAAGATTAACTTCCTTTTCCTCTTTTCTCTCTCTCTCTTTACCCTTTTCAATTTTCTACCACTCAGAATAGTCAGAATCATGATCAGTATAATAATTGTTGATAAGATTAGAATCAGTAAAGTTGGTTGATGATTAGAGGTAAACAGAATCAAAGGTTTTCTTATTAGCTGAACCTTCATCTCTTCCTCCATCAAACTCTATTGCCTTGTCTCTCTATTCCATCATTTTCATGTAACTCAACTTGAAATATTCTATTGATGGGAATTCCCTCTACATCTGAATCATATGAATTCTCTCTGGTAAATAAAAGAAGAGGTAAATGAGGACTAATACAATTGCAAAGATAAGGTAAAATCAAGTCAACAAATGACCATAAACACAGGGACAAGGTTAATAAGTTTCTAGCATCTATTTTATTTTTTCGAAATGAATAAACTAAATAATTCAGAGGAAGAGATAAATTTGATTAATTTTATTGTGATAAAAATCATGATAACAAAAGTAATAACCATTTGATTAGTTATTTCCATTGGATACCTTTTCTAATTACCATAAATGTTATCATTTTCTGGTTCATGAACAACATCATTTTTCAATTCATCTTTTCAACAAACTGAGCCTATCAAGCATTTTATCTGAAAGAAAAAAGCTCATTCTAAATGCGAACCTGATGAAAGTATTGTTATCATACATGTATTATCTCAATAGTTTGTAAATACAAATGATATAACTGTAAACAGATCAATACAGTGTCTCAGCTGATTGAAATACTAAGATCATTCAATATTATTTCAATATTATTCTTGGCAAATGAAGTTTCGTGAAAAATTTTTATCATTATTATTAGTTTACTCGTTTTTTTCACTTTGTCATATTCAGGCAAACCCTTCCCCTGATGAAATTGATTGGATATTTAATGGAACAATAATGAATACAACTAAATTAAATGGAGTATTGGTATCACCTAATACCTTTCTAATTGAGAATGTTACTCTAAATCATCGAGGTAATTATAGTTGTTCAGCTACCAATTCAATCGGAACAACAATCAGTCAACCATTATTTCTTCAAGTCCTTTGTAAGTATCAAACTAACCAATTTCTTTGAAACAATTGAATCAAATATCCATGAATGAGATAACATGTGATGAATGATGAACCTGAAAATAAACAATTTAATTTGAATTAGATGTTAACATGATTCATTGAATTTTGATTACCTGATTAGTCGTTGTAACACAGAATAAATCAACAATTAAAGAAATCAAGTTGTGTTATAATTATAATGGTGATGAGAGAAAAAAATGTTTTATTTTATTATCATTACAAAAGATTAACTTTTATCATGTATTATAAAGTAAATCAAAGTGATAAATGTATTATCAGGGTTAACAAGAAATGAAGATTATCTGAATAACAATGGTCTTGAGTGTTGGATAATTTAATCCGGTTTGCATAATTTACTCATTTTGTAGTTTACAAGATTCATAAGATTGTATTTTATTTTATTCTATCCCTTCAGAATCAAGAGAATCAAATCAAATTTCAACCATTTTATGATAATCAGTTTACTGTGCAACATATCTCACCTTCATCGTCAGTGAATTTCACATTTTTAAATCAACTGTTTGATTGAAATTCTGAATATCTTTTCATACCCGACGGCATAAAATAACATTCTGATTACATTTAGCAATATTTTGCATTCTTTTTAAGATATACTCAGAAAATTACTTTATGCTCTTTACGAGCTGAACTTTAACCAGAAATTTAGAGTAATCATAAAAAAGAGACAATTACTGATGTATATTGAATGATAATATTATTTTCTAATGAGTTCTAATTGTTTTATTCATTTTTTATATTGACGATTAACAGATTCACCAATTTGTGCCCCAAACCAGAAGACAGTTTATGGTTTGGCTACTAAAGAGCCTATCAAAGTGCCTTGTGTCGTTGAATCTGATCCTTCCCAAGTGACCTTTCGTTGGGCTTTGAATAACAGTATTGACCTGATGCCGATTAAAAGTTTCTCCTCCAATCGATTAACAAGCCTTGCTACTTATGCTCCAAGAACTAAATTTGGTTATGGTCAATTGTACTGTTGGGCGACCAATATAGTTGGTGAACAAAAGGAACCCTGTGTATTCAATGTTATACCCGCTGGATTACCAGAACCAATTAAAAACTGCCTTGTAGGTAATCAATCAATGGACAGTTTAGTGATCAAATGTGAACCAGGTCAAGATGGAGGCCTTGAACAATCATTTTATCTTGAAGTTTATCATTCGGTCACTGGCTCTCTGCAAACAAACATAACCTCACCTCGAAGTCCAATATTTGAGGTCAACTCACTACCCAAAGGTACACCTTTTGTACTTTTACTTTATGCCGCCAATGCCAAAGGCAGAAGTAATTCTGTTGCCTTAACAGCCAGTACATTGCCTTTTCCAAGTCGAGGTAAGATTGTTGATCAGACAAACTCTAGTTTCGAATCTATTGCAACATAAACTTGACTCAATTCTCTTTTAATTTCTCACCAATTTCTCTTTAGATATCAATATCATTACCCCTGTTATCGCAGCCTTAATAAGTGTCATTGGATCGTTGGTTTTCACTGCCATTGCGATAATGATAATCGCTCGAATCCGTGGCTTAGATGAGGACAAAGGTGATTTTCTCACTTTTTCGCATTTTCAAACTGATTCAATATCTTCATAACTTATCTTTGAATTATTCATTGTTTTCATTTCTACAGGTTCACGATCTCGACACAACTCATCAAAAAGATCAAACAATAATACTTCAACTGACCAACAAGCATCACTTAAACTACCCAATGGCCACCTTACGAATAACTCAGCAAAAGAAGGTATCACATTTTTCTTCAGAATTAGTTGCAGTTCTGAATACAGAATAATCATTCATTTCGTTTTCACATTTCTTATATCATTATATTAATTTACATCCACATTTTTCTCGCCTCATTTTATTTCGTAACTGACCATATCTCTAGAGACTTTGAATATTGATACTAATCAAGCTTATCATCGAGATGACGATAATGATGATGATGGTGATGATGATGCCGATAACTGGGATAATGATATAAACCGTGAGGATAAATATATTTTGGCCCATGAAACGAACCAGAATGAATTTGATATTCTCAACAAAGATGAAGGGCTAGTCAAACTATCCTTAGATCAGGTAACTCAAACCATGATAATAAATAATTTAAAAACAACAAAAAAGAAGACAAATTATTAATAAACAACAAAAACTATTCGCTTCTAATTTCTTTCCAGACCATTTTACGTGAACCTTCAGTTATAATTTTAAATGAAGATGACCCAATGTTGACCAACGAAACACCTCTAATCAATGGACTCTATTTTCCTCCTTTCGCAAATTTAGTAAGTAAAATGGGCGAATATTTTGTAAATTTGCATATTCAAAACTCAAATGAATTTTCCTGTTAATACTAATTTTCAATTCATTTTCTTCTCCAGAGAAATGGCTCACAGAAGCAAATCACTCCTCTATCTACACCAGTATGACAATTATATGCCCACCATACTCTGAGTCCATTGGAACCATACAGCTTAAAAAACAAGAATATTTGGATTGTACAAAATTCACCTTTTGTCGATATCTGTCGATCAATTGGATACCAAGTCATCTAATCTCTAACTTTATGAATTTGGATATAACTGTCTAACTTAATCAATATTTTGATACGAAAATTTATTTTGTCACAACGTTTACCGTTTATTATACCAATAAAGTTATCATTAGTATTTTATCATTTATCTAGGAGATTTTTTTAGTTAGCTCACGAATAAAAGATTACCATTAAATGGCGGATATTTTGACCTTTCTTATGGTTTTAGTCTGTATTTGCGTTCTTTATCCAATATTTCAAAAAATGATTTTGTGAATTAACTTGAAAAGTTATATCACATTGAAAGCTGTAACCTAAAAATAAGTGAACCACTTGACAGAGATTTATTAACTAATTAACTGTTTAAACTAAATTTACTCAACAATCAATTGTATTAATTAACCAAAAAATAACGAAATTGTGCAAAAACTAACGCAAATAGTTACTTTGTAACTATTGCAAAATGTATCTTCTCATTGAATTTGGTATAAAAGAAGAGAAATTCAACAGAAATAGCTAGTTAAATTCAAACCGTTAAAGCACCGAATTGTAGTCATTAAAAGACTCATAATCAGGATTGAATTCTGACTCGATATTAAGAATAAAAGTAAAATAACTTCACCAATATCGTTACCTAACATACCTATCAACATCATGATATTAGCAGCGGACACAGATGAAAATGTTATAGATTGGTAATCGAATTTTGAATTCACACCGAAGCATTAAACTGGAATCCATAAGAAATATTTCAAGCTATTATAAAATATATATAACGGTAGATAGCTGTTGTTGACATAGTAATTTCTGTGAAGAAACAGATAAAATTTGATGATTATACAAGGCTATTCAACTTAATGTTACACTCGGTTATGCTGATAACTCGTCAACAATTGTCCGATGAAAGTCAAACTTTGTACAAATACTATGCAGAACCGAATGACTCAGAAAGCAAGTTTGAAGGTCAATGATGAAAAATGCTCAGATTTGACATCGTCTATTCTTCATTCAATTCAAATGTCAAAATCACGACCGAGAACTTCGTGTTGGTCAATCGTAGCTTTTCACGTGATGACGCAAAAATCAAATAAAAAGCAATGGAGCAAGGATAAAAAAGTTGAATTCTCTTTGGAGAACGCCATCTCTTGAGTATATGAGTCTCGAATTTTGTATTCAATAGTGGAGAATAAACAATTTTCATATCTTTTGAACGGAATGACATAAATTTACAAGAAGGATATTTTTGATTATCTTCACAAAAAACTGCGAGAGGACATATACAGCGATTTCTGATCGAATGAGAAGTAGAGAATCTATTAAGTTTAGAAAAAAGTGCTTTTCTATGTAATTTTTTTACAAAGACAATTTACATAAACATAACTTATATTTTTAAAATTTTTTGACCCAAACGAGTACCGGTATACAACGAATACAATAACTGAAATGTTGACAGATTCAATGCGCACTCTAAAAAGCAGGTGGGCGGAGTCAAAAAGTTTGTGATTTTACATCGTTCTGTTTTTTACCGTTATTTGACCTCTGTGAATAACTTTTTATCTAGCGCAATAATGTCATAAATCAGTTTATCACCATTAGTCACTGCCCATATCGCCTAAGTTTTTTACGTTTACTTTTATTGGTTGCAATAGATCAGCGGGAAGTGACCAGATCATTGATCGTTGAAACATGTGCTGTATTGTTCTACGGATTTGGACAGAACACTATGACCGAATGGGCAAAGGTTAATCCTGTTAAGACAAAATAATGCAGACGGGGAAGTCATGATGGATCGGGAAATACAAGATGACACAGTGTCTTCAAAAAATGACCAGGTTAACCCTTCACCTTGAGCTGGATCTTCATCTTCTAGGGATGATTATGATGATGATGATTTGAACCATAATCATTGAGGAACCAATCCCATTGGGTCACAAAGATTAACCTTGTCAAGAATGCGACAATTGATACTCAACCATAATGACTCTGTTGATATTATTCCAATAAGGTCATTGGCTGAGGCTTCTCAAATTTACATTGAATTAAGAAATCTAAGAGACACCCAATCGGTTATTATGGGAGTTAGGCTTGGAGAATTTCTTAGAACAAATCTAAATCAATCAAATACAGGACAGCGTGGACATTGGGTTATGCAGGGTTCTTCATTAATTTAGAGTTAACAACCAACTTTCCCAGGATGCTAAGAATAACTCTACCAATAAGAGCTAATTATGCAAAATTTCATCGAATACAAAATATTAGAGATTTTAATAATGACTGAGAAAATGAACGGGCTAACGTGAATGTCTTGCTGATTTCCGATGAATGGCCTGAAAAACCAACGCGTAACCAACGGTAAACTAACGCGTTCACCATCAATCTGTTCACTTATAACTCTTTTTATCCATTTTTGCTTAGGATTTGTTAACTTCTGATCATTTCTTCTCACTTTATCTTGTTTTCAATCTCCAGGATATACACTGATCTCCAAATAAATCTTTAACCTTCAGACATTCGGTATATAGTAAAAATGTACCAAACTAAACAAATTTCGCCACTTAACCTTCGAGAGAAAATTGTAACCCAACAATTGATTTACCTGATGCTTCGCCGATCAATCTGGCTGATTTCAGGTTCAGAATTGTTGACATTATACATGTATTTCGATGCTGAGTGGTAGAAAAAACTTTTTAAAAACAGACCTTCTATTGACTATGAACGTTGTTTGTTCGTAATCAAAAACAGTCAATTTTACTATTTGATACTTGATATTTTACTATACTATATGAACCGTTCGACGTTGGCAACTGATTGGATTTATTTATGACTACTGTTAAGTAATAAACAAAGGAAATTGGTTAATTTTTGGAATGGTGAAACAATTGGTTCCAGATTCACTTGATTCGAATCAGTTATTATTTTACTGCACAATTTCAATTGACTCAGTCGAGTAGAGAGTTCAATTCAATTGAAGGTGATATCAAGGTTGATATGAGTAATTATACAGGGCTATTCAACTTCATTTTACGCAGATTTTTAGTTGCAAGGTAAGAACAAATGAGTTTCAAAAAAATGACCTCCAGATAGGTTTATCGTGAAATGACCGCAATGACCTTGAAACTTTTTATGCGAAGTACTTTAGTCCCGATATGTGTCTGTTCGAAGTTTGATCTTTTTAAACTAATTGGTTCTTGACTTATAATTAAAAATATGCCGATTGCCGATGCGACAATTGGTTCTCTTAAAATTTACATGAAAGTTCGTGTGTTAACCCAATTTTTTGGTTGCGGAAAATGTAATAGCAGCTAAACCTGACTATCGTAGAGTTAATATCTCTTCACCAATCAGTTTATCTAATTGTATTCTACCAGAATCAAGTGTAAAAAAGCTCACCTAGCATAGATTGAAAATTTTCCAATTTTTTCCCTATCAAGTCTTTGTGAAAACTTGGTCATTCCATCGTTATTATAAAATATGGTATTCGTGCATTCTAGATCAGAGACGCTATGAATAATATTATTATTTGATAATTTTAACTAATAAAAGTTTTAATATAACAAGAAGTATTTTTATCTCTCCCAATCTCTCGAAAAGCCGGGGAACAATAGCTATGTTTCAAAAGTTACATATTGTCAGGATTAGACCAAAAACGTCTGTTCAAAGATAGATTTAACATTACGGGATATTTTCTAATTGCTTTAGCCAATTGCGTGTAAAAATAAATAGAAGAGCGACTCAAGTTGAATTCCCTCATGCAATAAGCTAACCAAGCTCGTCTCTGTTAAAACTGCTGTTGATGAAACATTAGATAGAGACCAATTCTGTTCATAATCCTTATTCTCAAATTATCTGTTCTTGTTTCGGTTAAAAGCAATTTTCTTATGGTAACTCGAGCCTCTTCTAGTGTCTCCGGATTATTAAATGGTTCAAGATTAATGGAATCAGAGCCTCGACGTAGATTATTCCTTTGTTCTAAAGCAAATGTTGAGACTTCCTCTGCTGATGGTATACGTTCATTTCGTGGTCGTAATGATGTGGCAGATGATGTGGAAGTATAACATGATATGGAACTTGATCCCACAGACACATTCGAATCTGACGAACATAATGGAGAGCTGGTTCTCCATGGAGCTTCAGGCATAATAAAATCAACATCCTCTGAGGGAGCTAAGGCAAGACGATCGTATATAAATGGCAGAGGATTCAAGTAGATTTTCATCAGTGAAAACAACTTTGAGAATTAAATGAAACTTTATTCAATCTTGATGCTTGAGTTCTGCTTGAGTTGAGACTACAAGTTAATCTTTTAAGAGTTTGAATTTAACTAACTTTTTCTCATTGAATTTCTCTTCTTTTATACTTGACTCAATGAGAAAAAATACATTTTGCAATAGTTACTTTGTAACTATTCTGAGATAATCTTTTGCACAATTTCATTAGTTTTAGTTAATTAATATAATTGATTGATGGTTAGTTTAAAATAAGAAAGTTAGTTTGTTAATGAGGTTAATGAGATAATTTATATCTGTCTCATGATTAAGGTTACAATCAGTCTTCAAATCTTTCACAACCCAAAAAAATTGAGTTAAATCTTTGTTCGTTTCATCACCATTTCATCATCAGTATAATTTTTCGTTTTTTTCAGTACAATTTGTTGTACAACTAAACTTTAATTTTTCACTCAAGGTAAATGTCGGTTTCTTACTTAAATTCCCTCAAACTTGTTCAAATTCCCTTCGAACTTCGATCAACCAAGTGCTCGAACGAACCCTTGAATCTTGCAGATTTTAATATCAGATCAAGTGATTTTCTTACAATAGTTAAGTTACTTGAGCCTGACTCAAAGTAAAAGTTTCTTCAATTGATTATTTCTTTTGATGTTCAATTATCTTCTATTAAATTCAATAACCGTAAATTTTGCAACTTACTTGAAGGAGTGAGAATTGATCATCAAGCGAAAATTCATTAAATTTTCATGAAAAAATTTTATTTGATTTAAAATGAAAATTATTTCAACTACTGTTTCAACCAACAAGGTCTCCAAAGGTAAGGGCCCTTTAGCTCCAACGAAGGACTCCAGCTTTAAAAAACATTTGGATGAATAAACAAAGAAATTTAGGCAAAACCATCCGTTTGCCACTG